GACGACCCTCTAACCAACGAACTTCGTCCACGGTGGGAGAAATGGAAAAACGACCTCAACAACTTGGAGAGGATAAATATACCCCGAAGTTATGCCCCGGCAGATTTCGGAAGGGTTATTAAACGTGAGTTACATCACTTCTCCGACGCAAGCACTACTGGCTATGGACAGTGTTCATATCTGAGGCTTAGCAATGAAGAAGGAGACATCCACTGTGCTTTAGTCATGGCCAAATCTCGTGTCGCCCCAACAAAGGTCACCACGATCCCAAGATTAGAGTTGACGGCTGCAGTCATCTCTGTGAAAACCAGCAATGTTTTGAAGGAAGAACTTGGATATGCGGACATTGAAGAGCATTTTTGGACCGATTCCAAGGTTGTACTAGGGTACATCAATAATGAGGCTCGACGTTTTCATACATTCGTAGCCAACCGTATCCAGAAGATACATCTCTACACGAATCAAAGGCAATGGAGATACGTCCCTACTGACCAGAATCCTGCGGATCGTGCTTCTAGAGGTTGTTTTGTCCATGAGCTAATATCATCGGACTGGTTTACCGGCCCTGCATTTCTATGGGAAAAGGGAGTTGACCTCTCAGAAGAGGTGGCTCCGGAACTGTCAGTCGGAGATCCAGAAGTTAAGGAAACACGGACTCTAAACACGGAAACTGTAGAACAAGATTCTCTTACTTATCGGCTGGCAAAGTTCTCATCCTGGACTCGTGCCATCTGTGCAGTGGCTCGCATTCTTCGAAGGATCAACAAGGATAAGTCAATCGGCCTCTCTACAGTGCAGGAAAGAGAAGAAGCCGAGCGCCTCATCATCAAAGATCTGCAGAGACAAACATATTCGGAGGAAGTGCGGCTACTGAAGAAAGGTTGTCAGCTGCCACCTCATAACAAGCTACATCACCTCAACCCCTTCTTGGACAACAATGGTGTGATTAAGGTGGGAGGTCGACTCCGTGATTCAAACCTTCCTCTCTCAGTTAAACACCCTACCATCATTCCAAAGGAACATCATGTTACAAGGATGATCATAGCATACTGTCATGAAGAAGTCAAACATCAAGGCAAGGGGATGACTCTCAGTGCAATTAGGACAAGAGGTTACTGGATACCAGGAATTGGCAGGACGGTTGCATCCTATCTTCGCCGATGTGTAGTTTGTCGGAAGCTTCGGAGACGGACTGAAGAACAGAAAATGGCCGATCTCCCTCCAGAGCGAGTAAATCCATCTCCACCCTTTACCTACTGTGGAATGGATTGCTTTGGACCCTTCTATAGCAAGCAAGGACATAGTGTGCGAAAACGATATGGTCTCCTTTTCACCTGCTTCTCCTCCAGAGCCATCCATATTGAAATGCTGGAGGATCTATCTACAGACTCATTCATAATTGGACTGCGCTGCTTCATTGCTATACGTGGAGCCGTACGCCAGATCAAATCTGACCAAGGCAGTAACTTCCTAGGAGCCAAGAATGAACTGCAGGAAGCCCTCACGGAATTAGATGGTGATAAACTGACGAACTTCCTTTCTAAGAAGCAGTGTGACTTCATCCTAAATGCTCCTGGATCAAGTCATGTTGGTGGATTGTGGGAGCGTCAAATTAGAACAGTCAGGAGTGTTCTCAACGCGACCCTTGGACTCTCACCTGGAAACCTACCTGATGCTTCCCTCCGAGCATTCTTCTATGAAGCAATGACGATAGTTAATAGTCGTCCTCTCACTATTGAAAACCTACATGATCCCAACAGTCTTGAGCCACTGACACCAAACCACTTACTTACCCTGAAGTCTACCATGGCCCTTCCTCCCCCCGGCAAGTTCATAAGGGAAGATATGTATGCGAAAAAGAGATGGCGCCATGTACAATATTTGGCCGAGCAGTTCTGGAGCCGTTGGCAGAAAGAGTACTTAGCCAACATTGCCTTTAGACAACGCTGGCACACCCCAAAGAGAAACCTGCAGATTGGGGATATAGTCATAATGAAGGATGAAGACTTGCCCAGAAATGAATGGAGGTTGGGAAGAGTCGTAGAGACTACAATGGACAGAGATGGACTGGTTAGGAGAGTGAAGCTCTGTCTAGGTGACAGGAAACTTGGCAAAAATGGTGAACGTCTTACTAAGCGGTCAGTGCTCGAACGGCCAGTTCAAAAACTAGTCTTATTGTTGGAAGGTGACTAGTCCATTCCTTGCATACTATGCTTCTGTTGTTTGGTCATTATTTGTATTATGAAATCATTGTTCTTTCTTCCTATGTTTATGGAGTTATGTTTTTGAACACTAATGATTTGGTGGGAGTGTAAATGACCCAGATTATTTGTTTATTTGATATTTTTCAAACAGTTAAATCCCTGAACGAATTATACCTTATAATATAGATTAAACTCTTATTTTGAAATTCGTAACGGGCAACTTCCGGGAAGGAAGATCGTACCGCAACTGCTTGCCGCAGAAAGGATTAAATGAGAAGGTTATCGTTTTCCATCCATCTTAAAATTAGCATCTAGCTGGAAGGCGAACAGGTATGTTTGTGTGTTGTACTTGTTGTTTACATTTCGGACAATTTGTAAATGTATTACTTGATTGTTAATAAGTTTATGAGCGATCTAGCAGGCTGATGCTAGCACCTCCTGTGCCTTTTCTGTGAATTGATTAGCATAACAGAAACGTGGTTATGTGAATGTTTGTTTTATGTTATGGTTACAGCTCTTACGATGTGTCTATGGCAATTTGTGAATAAATGGGTTGGAATACCCCACCATGGTCCATCCGTAATGATCATTGAGTGCATCGTCTGAATAAAGTCCGGCTGGAATGCTACACCCCCCCATAACACCTCTTAACCTTTCTGATGAAACAAAAAAGTGTAAAACTCCCCTTGGCCAGTTAAAAGGTTTTGCAGTGTGCTCAGATTTACAAAATTCACTACAAACTGAATTGTTTATCTTTTAAGGTAGAGAGCATGAGGCTGGGCATTGGCAAAATAAGTAAAACATCCAAAGGCAGGTTTTACGCTTCCGTAAGAATAGCTAAAGCATTCTGACAGAGCTGAACTTGTCACTCTGGTTCATCCAGTAAACAATGAGACTCATTATGTACGCAAGTGCCTTAGGTCCATAATGACAAACAAAGTATGGACATAAAGTGCAACTTATCATTTTTGAAATGAGGCAATTTTCTGTGTTGATTTTTTTAAATAGATTTTTTAATTATTATTAACCACATAGTGAATTTTGGGATTTATAAGTTGAACATCACCATTTATGGAAAATTCCATTAAAAAACAAAACAAACAAACAAAAACAGTGTACATAAAATTAATGTTTCAATAAAATACTCGATTAGCTAAATTAAACTCTAATAACTTCTACTGTAAAAATAATATTCTGACATCTAATCTTCTTAGAAGAGACACTTGCTGGCCTATACAGGGAGTGCAGAATTATTAGGCAAGTTGTATTTTTGAGGAATAATTTTATTATTGAACAACAACCATGTTCTCAATGAACCCAAAAAACTCATTAATATCAAAGCTGAATGTTTTTGGAAGTAGTTTTTAGTTTTAGTTTTAGCTATTTTAGGGGGATATCTGTGTGTGCAGGTGACTATTACTGTGCATAATTATTAGGCAACTTAACAAAAAACAAATATATACCCATTTCAATTCTTTATTTTTACCAGTGAAACCAATATAACATCTCCACATTCACAAATATACATTTCTGACATTCAAAAACAAAACAAAAACAAATCAGCGACCAATATAGCCACCTTTCTTTCTTTGCAAGGACACTCAAAAGCCTGCCATCCATGGATTCTGTCAGTGTTTTGATCTGTTCACCATCAACATTGCGTGCAGCAGCAACCACAGCCTCCCAGACACTGTTCAGAGAGGTGTACTGTTTTCCCTCCTTGTAAATCTCACATTTGATGATGGACCACAGGTTCTCAATGGGGTTCAGCTCAGGTGAACAAGGAGGCCATGTCATTAGTTCTTCTTCTTTTATACCCTTTCTTGCCAGCCACGCTGTGGAGTACTTGGACGCGTGTGATGGAGCATTGTCCTGCATGAAAATCATGTTTTTCTTGAAGGATGCAGACTTCTTCCTGTACCACTGCTTGAAGAAGGTGTCTTCCAGAAACTGGCAGTAGGACTGGGAGTTGAGCTTGACTCCATCCTCAACCCGAAAAGGCCCCACAAGCTCATCTTTGATGATACCAGCCCAAACCAGTACTCCACCTCCACCTTGCTGGCGTCTGAGTCGGACTGGAGCTCTCTGCCCTTTACCAATCCAGCCACGGGCCCATCCATCTGGCCCATCAAGACTCACTCTCATTTCATCAGTCCATAAAACCTTAGAAAAACCAGTCTTGAGATATTTCTTGGCCCAGTCTTGACGTTTCAGCTTGTGTCTTGTTCAGTGGTGGTCGTCTTTCAGCCTTTCTTACCTTGGCCATGTCTCTGAGTATTGCACACCTTGTGCTTTTGGGCACTCCAGTGATGCTGCAGCTCTGAAATATGGCCAAACTGGTGGCAAGTGGCATCTTGGCAGCTGCACGCTTGACTTTTCTCAGTTCATGGGCAGTTATTTTGCGCCTTGGTTTTTCCACACGCTTCTTGCGACCCTGTTGACTATTTTGAATGAAATGCTTGATTGTTCGATGATCACGCTTCAGAAGCTTTGCAATTTTGAGACTGCTGCATCCCTCTGCAAGATATCTCACTATTTTTGACTTTTCTGTGCCCGTCAAGTCCTTCTTTTGACCCATTTTGCCAAAGGAAAGGAAGTTGCCTAATAATTCTGCACTCCCTGTACACCTCATGATTATCAGACTGCATAACTACTAAACCTCCTTCTGTGTAACTTGAATCAACTTACAGAAGACTGATGCTCTGGAAAGTTTACTAACAAAACCTGAGACTACACATAAATAGCATGTACAAATCAGTTCTTCAAATTATAATAATAGTATTATAATATTTTTAGGTCAAGGTAATGTAAACGCAAGACTAGTAGCAGATGCCATGTTGGATGCAGTGATTGATGTGATGAGCCAAAACTCTTCCGGTCCCCTGACCACAATCCGCATAGTTATTTTCCAGAAAGCTATGCTAAAAGATTTCCACAGCAGCCTGGAACAGAGAGAAGCTACTGATCCTAATCCTAAGGATAAAGGACAGGGAACCTGGGGAGGCATTGGCAAAGTCCAAGGTAAAAATATGTAGAAGAAAAATCCAGCACCGTTCTGCTGTCTCCAGTCAATGTTGAACCTTAACTTCTAATGGTTTTGAAATGTGGTTTTTCAGGAATGTTTACTGATGGAAATACTGAAAAACCAAAGAAAGAGAAAGACTGCACAGCTGAAGGTCAGGAAGCTGATGCCACTTGCTTCCATATTTGTGGTGTCACTCAGGCTGATGTAGATATAGCCAAGAAACTATTGTTTCAAGAGCCTGAGACAACCACAATTGAGGACGAAGCCATTGGTAAACTCTGTGATGCAGACCACCAGAAAATTGATGACATGGAGAAGACCATGGGTATAAGCATAAAAATAGAAAACAGTAAAGTCAAGCTCACTATTGAAGGACTGAGCAATGATGTGCTTAAAGCTACCTCTGAGATCAATATGATGCTAACCAGGAAAAGAGAGGGTATTCCTGAGCAGTGGGAACGCATGCCAGCTGAGGCCACATGTCAGGCTTTTGCAGTACAAGCCAAGACATCAGAATATGATGAAATCCTGAAACATTTTCAGGCCTCATGCAGTGGATTTGTTACAAAGGTAACATTTGTTATTTATCACTCAGATCATTAGAGCAAAAGGTTTTTGGTGAATGGATCATCAAATTGATACTGACTAATCATTTCTAGATTTAAATTGAAAATGTATTTTCATGCATCTGTTCAAGTCTTTGTGCAGTCAAACCATTATGAAGTTAGTGTTAAACATTTTTTTTTAAATCTTTTAAAAAGTTTGTTTCACAAGAAAGCCAATAAAAGCAGTTAACATAAATCTACATCAGACTACACAAAAAAGCACTTTTCTTCCTCTCAGATTGAGCGGATCCAGAACCCTGGATTGTGGAAGAGTCTAGAGATTAAGAAGCGTGAGATGGAGTTGAGAAATGGTCATCAGAATAACGAGAGACGTCTTTTCCATGGTACCTGCAACAGAGCTGTGCCAAATATTAATGACCGTGGGTTCAACAGGAGCTATGCAGGAAAGAATGGTGAGATATTTGTGGGTGGGGGATGTGTCAGTGTGCCAATTGTTTTCAGTTTGATCTTAATGCTACCGAGAGTTACAGAGTTGGCCATAAACACACTTTTTCAAAATCAGCTTTAGACTACAGAAAGAATGGAATACACAGAATGTGGAGAAAACTTGCACAAGGAACAATGCTGAAAATAAATATTTTAGAAGACAGTGAGAGACAATAAAAGGTGGGAATGCGGAGATCAGAATAGGGATTATAAGTACTGGGATTGTGGCTGGTAAAAGGAAAGAGCTGGCTGATATGATGGGCAAAAAGGAAGGTAGATATATATTGTGTGTAGGATACCAGGCGGAAGGGAAGCAAGGTCAGGAGCACCGGAGGTGGATTCAAGCTGTGCTACAATGATATTGAAAGGAAATGAAACAGAGTATGGATAATCTTGAAGGGAGAGAATGTGAATAGTGTTGTGGAGGGGAAGAGAGTGTCAGACAGAATCATGGGTTTCAGGCTGGAAATCAAAGGGTTGATATTGTCTTCAGGGGGAGAAAGTGGTGACTGGAACAGCCTTCAGTGGAGATCTAGGTGAAAGGAACAGAGGTCAAATTTGGAAGAACAGATGGAAGGGGGTTTTGCTAAAAGGATGAAAATGGCTGTGGCCACCAAGTAAAGTCAAAAATCGAATATATGGGTCCACAGTGTTTGGGTTGTGGCTGCCCCTCCGGTGTACTTGCTGTAATTTCTATCTGTGGAAACCGAGGACTGAATCTTCAGATGATGTCTTCTGCTCATCACAAGACAGAGAGAGAAAAAACTACCGCATTTTCCGAGCCGCCTTCTTTATACTCTTTTGTCCATTTGCCTCTCTCTCTCTCCTCCTGTCTGTCATTTACATACATCCAGCCACACTCTATCATCCTCTCCATCTTCAACCTTTCAGTCTCTTTTAACTAAGGCGGTGGTTATTTCGTTGAAAGCATTTCCTTACATCTTCTTCTTTTCCATATTATACTTAACAAAATTTTTCAATAAATACACCGCATATGAACTTTCAGTTGTGTATTCAACAGCACTTCATACCATTTCTCTTATTCAGAATCATGTATAATGATTGGTTGGCAACATATTTCTATGTCTTTGACTACAAGTTAATTTGATTTACTATTAGCAGAAGCACACAGAAATAAACTCTGTTTTTGTATCAGACATAAAAGACTGGATGTTAATATTTTCTACTCTCTCTGTTAGTGTGAGTTTAATGTGAGGTTAACCTCAATGTGAGGTTATGGAAGTTTGAGAGGATTTAGTGTTTGATTTTCAGACTGGTGCAACTACTAGGAATAACAGAAAGCGTGTCAAAGCGTTTTTCCGTTGACTTTCTGCTGCTCTTCATTTTCAGCTGCATTATATGGCAATGGCACATACTTTGCTGTCAATGCTAGTTATTCTGCCAGTGACACCTACTCCAAGCCAAATCAGAACGGGGAAAAGTTTATGTACGTCTGCCGAGTTCTGACTGGTGACTTCACTCTTGGACAGAAAGGCATGGTTACACCACCAGCAAAAAAACTCGGATCCACTGACCTGTACGACAGTGTTGTGGACAACATTGCCAATCCCACCATGTTTGTTGTCTTCCATGACACCCAGGCTTGTCCTGAGTATTTGATTACATTCAAGTAATGGTAAATGGCCTGTATTTGTATAGCGCTTTACTTGGTCCTAAGGACCCCAAAGCGCTTCACACTATACACAATCATCCACCCATTCACACACACATTTGTGATGGCAAGCTACAGTGTAGCCACAGCCGCCCTGAGGCGCACTGACAGAGGCGAGCCAGTGAACAAGATTATGAGACATAATCAACTTACATCATAAAAGTGAGCCCATTATGCTACTTTTTAACTCTATGTATTTATTCTTTGACTCTATTAGACTAGCTCTGCATGGTCCACAGTTCAAAATCATTTGAGCCTTTTATTGGCTCAAATTGTGGTCATCAGAGTTTTGTAACCTTGTAAACCAAAATATCTGAAAATCTTGTGTTTGTGCATCTATAGATGATAGTTTGTGTGCTTGTAAAAAAATATTTACACGTTACACTTTTTTTTTGTTAAGGTCTGTTTACAGACAAAGCAAAAAATTACATGTAAAACTCTGCACTTGAGTTCCCTGGCTGTGTGTGTTTCAACTTGCAACTACAAATTTTGACCTGATTATTCTTCCTTTCAGCTGATTGGTCAATGTCATGTCAATCACAAATTTAACCATCCAGCCAGAGAACAGATGGGTTTGGCTGTCAGAGAGGTGCTTTACAGGAATACAGGAAAAATAGAGAAAACAATAAAACATAAAATGGTCACAGGAGGAGATAGATGCCCCTGATCTTGAGACACAAAAACTCAAAAGCATGGAGGACTCCACCCAAAGTCCAACTTTATTTTACTCCTTTCGCCTCCTAGGCAAACCCTACACAGGTTTTTTTTGTCTTCTATTTTAAGTACAGAAGATTTGTGTTTTTTATGTGTTTGTATGTGTTGATTAAACATACAGTTTAAGGTTATCAAAGAAAGACTAAAAAGAAATAAAATCCTATTTTAAACTCTACACCTTCTGTTTCTGCCTTTACCTCTTCAGTATTGTATCACTGGAGGATCTTTACCTTCCAAAGCAACTTGAGGTGACTGCTGCTGCCATGTGGTGCTATATAAATAAAACTGAATTGAATTAAACTAATCCAGCTTTAACTTGTCACATGTTGTGAGTGTAGCTGTGTATCCATCTGAATCCATGGAAAGGTTTATCACTCTGTCCTAAATCTGTCTTTAAACTTACTTTTTTGGTCTTGCTTGCCTTAACTCTGTACCAAAATGCTTATTAGGATCACAGTCAGTCATAACATTTCTTCTGGACAAACATTTGAATGCTTGCCCATCCTACAAGAGGAGATGAACTGTTCTGCTCAGGGGAGATGGAAAGGCCTTATATGCTAAAACTAAACTAACCTTTAAAATTAAATCTAGTGCAAACTATGGATAGTGTAATACATTTCCCATTTCCTTACCATGATGAAAGTTGTTTTTAGTGAAATAAGGGTTGGGATGACAGCATCAGCACACTCTTATACGTGTAGTTTCACTTAAAAATTCATTCAGTTAAATTTCACCCTATACTGTCTCCTTGTGGAAGACAATAACAGTGTTCATCATATTCTGTGATTCTTTTCAAACAAATAACATCAATACCACTTTCTGTTAGAGGAACACAAACATTTTCTGGTAATTGTATAACAAATTTTGTGTATTTTCTAGGTATGAAAACCCCCCACATCTTTTAGTATAACATGAATTAAGTATAGAATTGCTTATATGCTGGGTTGACAGATTTTTAATTTTGTCAAGTTGTCAGTAGCCCAAATTACAAATAAAATAACATTTTCAGAAATTAATTTCTCATCATAATAAATGCATCTCATAACAGTTAAAATGTAAGCCCTGTTTGTTTGTCAGTAACCACTATCCACCTCCGTGAAAGAAATTTGTCAGGTTTGACCTAATGTGTAACTTCTATATCGAAATTAGACACATGAGACAAGTGAGATTTGTGGTATTTTTTTAATGCTTAAACATTTTTATTTCTAATATTAAGTATTGGCAGTACTGAAATATAACTTAAAACACTCTTTGAATATCAATTTTCAAACAAAGGATAGCCAACTAAAATACGTCTCTGTCCTAAGATCGAGTGGAACTCAAATAGGTTTTAAACGAGCTAACTGAAAGTTCTCACCACCTGTAACAGGCAGCGTGGAAAATAAATCCAGAACATTACTTAATATGTCTGTGAAGGTTCTCAGTCATCCAGCTCATCGTAGTCAAAGGAGCTTGCAAAGAAAAGCGTCTGGACTTCTTTAAGTTGCTTGAAGACGTTTCACCTCTCATCCGAGAAGCTTCTTCAGTTCTAATGTATACCTGGCCTAGCAGGAGGTCGTCAGATAAGTGATAATTTGTACGTAGAAGCTTACAAATGGTCTGTCTGCACTGATGTTAGGTAAAACAAGCCAAACATTATTTTTTTGTTAGAAATGAAGTAAGCTAACTAACACCGGGAAAGTCAAGCAGTTTCTTTCATGTGGACTTCGCTATGAGGTAAATTTCTTACCTGTTGCTTTTGAAGCCCAGATTTTCCTTTTAAGGAGCCGTCCTACTGTTAGGTAGCAGCGCGTGTTAAAAATGACAGTTTGACTCTTCGGCTGTTTTCTAGGGGCCTTGTCACTCATGAGCCTTTAGAATGGTCATTTTTCTCCCCCTGTCCGCTGTTAGTGTCCCGCGGTTTGATAACCACTGAGGGAAATCACAGTTGCCATCACAGAGCTTTATTTAAATCAGAGTCTCTGGTGTCGCCTGCACTCTGGCGCTATCTGCAGCACACAGTGAGTCACCGCACTATTATATCTGGATTTCTGCTGCGCTGTTCGCCAAAGACTGAAAGAGTGCACGCCATTTGAAAATGATTTTTCTTTATGTGTGTGCGCTTGCGCAAAAGCCACGCTTATGTTTTTTTTCTTGTTTATTGTTAAGGTGGAGTTTTATTTTTATTTTTTTAATTGTCAGACAGAATCATGGGTTTCAGGCTGGAAATCAAAGGGTTGATGCTAAATGTTGTCAGTGTGTCTTCAGGGGGAGAAAGTGGTGATTGGAACAGCCTTCAGTGGAGATGTAGGTGAAAGGAACAGAGGTCAAATTTGGCAGAACAGATGGAAGTGGGTTTTGCTAAAAGGATGAAAATGGCTGTGGCCATCAAGTAAAGTCAAAAATAGAATATATGGCTCCACAGTTATTGTTTGGGTGGAGTTTTATTTTTATTTTTTTAATTAAGCTGACTGTATTCCCCACCCATGGGCGCAGGTGTGTCTACCTGCCATGGGAAGTTTCGAACGCGGAAGTTTGTAGGACTGTCATGGTTGCAGGGAGAGTGCGGCGGACTGGTTTAGCTGCTCTGTAAAACGAAATACGCAAAACAGCAGCTTGTTCGGGCGCTGCGCCTACACAGGTTTTCTGGACTTCCCGACCCGAGTCGTCAGCCGTACAACGACCCAATGGCATCTCCCGGACCGGGGAGTACCACCGGCCCGGTGCAGGGAGCGGGGCTCGGGGAGAGCCCGTCGATGAGCACTGAGAAACTGAGCTCCTCGGCTGTCAATCGCATGTTAATGGAGTTTCTGATTTACTGCGGGAGAGCCGTGTTCATCTTCTACCCCGTATACCTGACGGGTTACCTGGGCCTCAGCATTAGCTGGGTGCTGCTGTGCATGTTTGTGCTTACTTGGTGGAAGAAAAATCGCCAGTGGAAGGACGCCCGGATCGGATCGGCTATTGACTTTTGTGGACAATGAAAAGCACACGATCAACACCGAGCTGAAAGGTTCCCTACAAATGGCATCTTGGGTAGGTTATGTGTAAATATGTGTACAGTAAGAAACTGTCGCTCTGCGTCTGTTTTGCTTTAGAGCACTTCAGCAGCCTGGCAGCAAAGCCTTTCAGGTCAGCAGCTCTCCAGTCATGGTAGAAAAAGCTACCATGTCATTTATTTGTTTAAAACTGTAGGAAATAGTATCGTTCTCTCTTGCACTGTTTTGCATAACAAGACACACTCAGGCTGGTCCATTTTTTATTGCACCACACTCACCCAAAAGAGTGACTCATGGCACGCAACAAGGGTTAGGACAGACAATGAAATAGGTTTCTTCTAATGTTACAGGAGTTCAGCACGCACAGTGGCTGTGAAACCAGGTCAGAATTTACTGATGGCTGTAGTTCGTGTCTGACAGGCTTATCTGTTCGTGTGTCCATGACCATGAAACTTGCTGATGACAGAGCCCCTGATGACAATTAAATCAAAGTCTCAGTTCATGCAAGACATATTTTAAATACAGCACACCCGAATTCTCCTTTTAAAGCAGTTGGATGAGTTCATTTTAAATGAATTATATTTGCATGACTAATTCTATAATTGTATTGTATAATTAATAAGTAATTCATCTTCTGCACTCTTCATGTCAGCATGTTGTGCAGACAGTTTCAACGGAGATTATGTTTACAAAACCACTTCTAACTTTAATCTATTTTTTCCTAAAGGTGAATTTCACTGATGTGGAGAAGGCTCAGTGGCTTAACAAGGTATAGTACTGAAGTTCACTTACTCCACCTCATCTGAGCTTTATGAGGTATGACACCAAGTATGTGTCCCATCAACACTCTGGGGGGGTTCATTGATAAATTAGCTGAAAGCAGACTGAATGAGTGACGATCTTTCATTTAATTACTGTTAAAAGAAATCGTATTAATTGGCTGTGACTTTGAAATGATAAACAAAAGTTTAATACTATATGCCTTTTCGAGTTCACCTAATTTAAAAGTACACTGTAAGTACGATTCCATTTACTGTTTGATCAAGGTGTTTCCACATGGTGTTTTTTGTTATGTGTTCAGGTGTTGGAGCAGGCGTGGCCCTTCTTTGGGATCTACATGGAGAAGTTATTAAGAGAAAACATCCAGAAGTCTGTCAGGACCTGCAGTACTGCACTCAAAGCATTTACTTTTACCAAGATCCATTTTGGACACGTAGTGAGTTGCTGTGATTTATGCACCATTCCTTTTTGTACTGCTTCAAGTCCACTT